TTTTGATTTTGAAACGTGCAGTGCTCATGTTTATTCAACGAAGTCAAACACCACAAATAAATCAATGTATGGGAAACACTGGTAATGTATATCGAAATATCGGAAATGTGTTTAAAAATCATATCACCGTTATTGAAAAAAATTATATCGTGATACATATTGATATTGAATTATTGTCCAGCCCTAGTTCAATAGTTAGGGGTCGGTAATTATTTATTTTTTCAATCTTTTTGAAAAGTATAAGACTACATTTCTCTGATTAAAAATACAGTAAAAACAATAATTAATAACAGTAATTCGGTAAAAAGTGAATTGTATTTTAATGCATTTTAAAATGTAATTTATTCCTATGATGGCAAATTGACACTTGACCCTTCAGAAATCAATATGCTGATTTTTGCCGCTTAAGAAACATATTTCTTTATTTTTTATTCCATGGCCCAAACAAACAAACAAAAAAAGAGGATTGTGAAGTAAAGTAAATTCCAAATTGCAAGGAAAGTCAGAATTCTTGAGTTGCCATCTCACAATTCAGAATTTTTTTTCTCAGAATTGCAAATTTATACCTTCCAATCCAGTTTTTTCACAGTTCTGAGAACATTCACAAAAGTAGCAAGTAGCATTACTTTAGCATTTTTAAATAGCTTCTTTTTTTATATATTTTATCCCATGAAGGAAACGAGCTTCCATAGGAAAGTTAATAACCGCATTTATTGGATTTCTTTCCATCATTATAATTATTTCTTAAAAAAAAAAAAACTCTTACTGACACTAAACTTTTAAATGCTACTGAAACCTCAAGTTGACTTTGACTAGGAGAGTAATTCTGAGTTTTCACATTCATAGAAGTTCCGTGGCAGAGGAGGCCATCAGCAGAATCGTGGTGGTTTTGGCAATAAAAACGGATCTTTTGCCCAAGCCTTCAACCAGAGCTGGCAACAAGGGGTATGTACAGCTATTATGTGTCTCGTTGAGAAAGCTAATTTTTTTAAAGGGTCACAGATAAGCCATACATTGCATAAACATCCAATGAGAAATCCAACTTATTCAAAATCATAAGATTGGCTATTATATTAAGATTACTATATAACTAAATCAAATTGTAGTCCATTTAACTGATGAAACTTTCTTTGACCCTTTAGTTCTGGAACCAGAAGCCATGGAATCAACAGTACCACCCAGGATATTACTAAGTGCGCATTTGTATTAAAGACTCATGGCCTCTTGTGCGCTGAAATGCACAGCCACTGAATAACCATCCACTTTTACGGTCCTTGTTTATTATAATTTTTTAAAGGAAGTCCATTTTTAAATAAGAGAAGCAAGTGGCAAACAAACATTCCGCCTACTGAAGTGAACAGTCTACGTTCTACATAGATGTGTGCTTGCTTCACTCTCAGATTTTTGTAAAATGTAATTCCTCCCCCTTTTATTTTGTATCACAGCTTTGATATATTGTTATCAGGAATCCCAGCATTTGTGTTGTGTGAGGGATGCTTTGAATTTCAGGGTTGTGAATTTTATTCTGTAAAATGTCATTTTTACTCAATGTAAATTATTATTTTTCAAGTTTTTTGTGTAAAGGTTAGTGTTTAAAAATCCCTGTGAACCTTAATCTTTTAGAAGCTTTTGTCATTAACCATTCATATTTACACAGCAACTCTGCCCTTCATGTTCAGTGGAGGAGTGAAAATATATTTACTTCTTACAGGTTCATGTTTTTCTTTATTTGTTAGCCCAGACTGTAACAGTTGCATCATAGGTTTGCAATAAATGATGTGCTTGCTTTTCTGTGACCTTTTATGGCTTTTGACTGATATCTTGAACAATCCATTTCAAAGAGCCTTTGAATGTCAATCAGATTTGTCTCTTAATTCAGCACCATCAGACTATACTTTATTGCCTTTTTCTTGTAGGGCATACAGTGGAAAGATTTTTTTAAATCGGTTTAGTCAGTTACTTTATAAATTTACGCATTTGTGTCATCTAAGAAATCAAGAGAAGCCACAATGAAGCATTCATGAAGTTAAGCACTTGATTGTGCTTACTGCTTTACACAGCTTTGTAAAATCAACACCGTTCAACACAGCTTTGTCAATAACTCCATCATAACGATGGTGCACTAAGATTACTAGTACTGTTCATCCTGAGTAACATTTTGTGGCAACGCTTTTGTTTTTTTTAAATGGCTTTGCAAAATATTTAATGCAAAGACTATTGTTTTAACTGAGTGACTGCTATATTAATCTGTGTACAAATGCAATTAACCTGTTTCTGGTGTACATTAAAATTATGTTATAGAACAATATTTAGACCATTTTACTACAGGAAATGTCCCAAAAAAATTCCTTTGGGATTCATTTGTCAAATGGTGGCCTTGACAACCATTTTAGATCTAACTGCCAGCAAATAAGCAAGTTCATTTATATGTTAAATTCTCAAATGCATTATTAATGTTACATGGAGTGAACTGTGGGAAAAATAGTTGAAGGCCTTATCAGAATTTCATACTGGATTTACTAACTCGTATGGATTTTCTCAATTTACATAACCTCATCATTCAGACCACAATAATATCACATCGGCGAGACATCCTGATTTTCATCAAGCCAGACCCTTGATTTGTTTGAATGAATATATTTCTTATAAAGTGCCAAATGGCCAAAGAAAAAGGGCAGCTATTTTTGACTTAAAATTGGTGTATTTTATCATGATGTAATGGTTTAAGTGGAATATTTTGTTGAACTGTGTACCATTTAAATTGATGTAAAAGTAACTTATTTCAGGAAGTAACTCAAGTCAGGAAGTGTTTTTTTCTGTAGATGATTTCCTGTGGGATGAGATAATGACCCTGTCCTTTAATAGAATAAGTGATTTTTAACTGGATAGCATGGCATGAGAGATTTGTGACTATTCTGTTTTACTACACAAACTTTGTGCAAAATACGCTATTTTGAGGATGAAAAATGTATTTAATAAATTGTACTAAAAATGTGGCATTATGTGTTCTTGAGAGATGGCAGGTGGTACGATTTATGATGTTTGTATTTTGGCTTTGATTTTTCAACGATGAATGTTAAAAGTGTTTCATGATGTAAGGAAATGTGTCATTAAATAATGTAATAAACCTCTTAGATAAATCATTGTGTTTTCTCCCAGAACTGTTCCCTAAATGCAAAATATTTCCATTAGTATCACTTAGTAGTTATAACTGTAACTGTATAATGATTATTTAAAGGAATAGTTCACCAAAAAATGAAAATATTTGCCAAACATTGCTGGTCCCCATTGACTTCCACAGCATTTTTTTTTTCTCCTCACAATGAAAGTCAATGGCTACCAGCACTTTTCTGATTGGCAACATTCTTCAAAATATCTTCTGTGTTCAACAGAAGAGAGAAACTCGTATACAAGTTTGGAACAACTTCAGGGTGAGTAAATGATGACAATTTTCATTTTTTGGTGAACTATCCTAGGGCTGGACAATAATTCAATATCAATATGTATCGCGATATAATTTTTTTCAATAACGGTGATATGATTTTTAAACACTTTTCCGATATTTCGATATACATTACCAGTGTTTCCCATACATTGATTTATTTGTGCCGTTTGACTTCGTTGAATAAACATGAGCACTGCACGTTTCAAAATCAAAACACGTCG